CACATTGCAGTCTTAGATTTTGCCAAAGCCAGAGAAGGTGGAAGGTAGGGTATCAGAAGTGTCGTTCCAACCTAAGCCATGGACAAAACAAGTTGCTTTGGTTGGGCCTTTTTTTTTTTTTTTTTTGAAAAACATTAGTAATGTACTAAAAAATAGTATACTTGTTACTATCTCGTTTTCACTACGGAGAGAAAAAAGTGTGAATATTTAGCCCAACCTTGAAGAATAATTTAGAAGCATGCTTATTTGAGTTGTTGATACCTGAACGGCAAAAAATTTCAGCTTTAGATATAATCTTGTTGAAAGCACCTTTGGCTCCTTCTTCAAAAAAATTTATAATATAGATAAATATTAGGAAAAAGCTTATTAAGAAAAATTTACATTAAGTGTCAATTTTATACTCTTGAAGTAAAATGTCTCGCAAAAACCCACCAAAACATATTGTTTTGATATTGCAAACCTTGCAATTGATCATCTTGATCTCACGATGTGTGGATACGAAAAAAACTTAATTTTAAGTATTAAAAATAGTGTATTTAGTAGCACATTATTTGAACCAACTATTTTCAAAATTTTCAAAGTATTTGTAAAACTATTCGATCTGCACCATTATTAGAGCTATAAATTTCACGATTACGGGTGAAAGTAGGTTTTTAGACTTCACAAAATTTGCCCGCACCAAACTACATCATTTAGATTGTTTAAGGTTGATGCCTTATAGAATCCGCACCCTAAATATTATAGCTTAGAATTAGATGAAGGGTATACCGTATATGGGTGGTGTTTGAGATGTGGTCAACCAAGTGGGAATGCACCATTCTATTTTTATTAGAGACGATGGGTAGGACAAAGTATTAAATTACTTTGCTCAGACTCCGGACTGAGCCTCTGCCCAAGTCCTGTAACTCTGATGGGTTTGCGGGGTTTCATCAGACTCTTGTACGATTTTAAAAATACCTCAAAAAAGCAAGAGAGATAAATTTTTTTGTCATTAGGAATAGGTTGATGTTTTTATAAGAAATTAGTAGCATTTTACTAATGGCTAAGAAGCAATTATTATGAGTGATGTCATGTCTCAAATAGATAATGTTATCTTCTACTATAGTTAATAAATGTTTATCTTTCTATCAAAAATTTGTATTTCATTCTTGATAAATTACTTAAAATACTTCCTACACAAAAAAGTTAGTATATGGTAAGATAAAAGTGTCAAGTGTTCAAAAATATTGAGTATCTTAAGGAAATACTCAATTTTATAAATATCCTAACCCTACAAAAATCAAATATAAAAAATTATCGTAGACAACAAATTGCTTGAGTTGACCTGGACCAAAAGATACGGGGTTCGTTCTCTCTCAAACTTGGGCAAGTCGGTTCTACCCATTTTGAAGTGAAAAGACAAGTAAAAAGAAAAAAAAAAAATTTAGGAAAATTGTTTCATGCACGCTGGACCGCATTTCTACAATATGTTGTCCCAAGATAAAAAGCATTCATCTTACAGATGGATGCAAATAGGAGGTCGTCCATCTAAAAACAATTGAAACTAACGGTCCAAATGTTTTCTTCATAAAATCATTATTTATTTTTTAAAAAATTTATTTATTTTTTATATTCATGATTTCCATGTAAGAGATTACATCTCCTTAAAATTTGGGTCTGAAAATCCATCTAAAAAATAGATTTTTAAGAGTCGACTCATTTCTATATGGACTCATAGAAACCATGTCCAAACTTTTATATTTTAGTTTTTATTGCTCAATCAATAATCCTTTTCTAACCCCCATTTTTATTGATTTAGACAAACCAATCTCTCCAGGTCCTTAAAATCATTCTTTTGTTTAAAATTTGCATTGAGCAATATTTATTTCATGAAGTTTTCGCTAATTTTGTCCCCTAAAACCTAATCTACTTAATTGCATTCTCTCGCATTTCTCAACCAAATCATCTAAAAATTCACTGTTGGTAGTGAGGCCCCACAAGCCCCATATCAATTGTTGTATTAAAAAACAGAAGAGAAGAAATCGATAGTTTAAATTTCAGGGTTTTTTTCTCAGCCATTTTTTCACCAAAATTATGCAAATTTGTTCTGAAATGTTCATACCACATTATTCTCCAAAAGCTCAAACAAAATTTTTGAATCAAGCCAAAAATCTCTAAAATCATTCTTTTTCTTGGTCATTTTTTCTACCATTTTCTCATTAAAGTACTTTTTATTTGGCAACTTATTAAAATACCTATGAGAGATAAAGAATTTAACATGTTACCTATATTGTTTGATTTAATTTCAAAATACCTACAAAAATTCACATGATCATGAGTTAGAATAGTTGAAAATGTGTAAAATACTAACTATTGTATTTCTTATGAGTATTTTTTATGGGTGCAGTTTGTATAGAATCGAGGCTCTAAACAATCAAAGAAAAGCACAACTTCAAATAGTATCGAGAAATGTGGTTTCATTACTGAAAATATTTGTGATAGCCTTAAAATATATTTTTATCTTTAATTATAAAATTTAAAGCTTAAAAAATTGTGTAGATCGAGTAGATCTATGAAAACTTGAAAATTGATGGTCCTAAAATACATTACAAGATGCACATTTCCAAACTTGAAATCCATTTTTTTCTCATATCCATGCATCTTAATGTCGAGATGATCAATTTGACGATATTTGGGCATAAAAAACAGCCTCTTCTAGTGAAATTTTGAGGTGGGATCTAATTTGATTGTTTAGAGCCTCGGCTCTATATAAGCTTTTACCATTTTTGATAATTCCTCCTTTTATTCTAATATTTATTTGATTTGATTTAATATCATGTGAAATCAAATATTTGGTTTTCAATCTTTGATATCATTGGTTTTTTGATAATCTTTTTGCTATTTTTTAAAAATATTTTATTTAAAAAAACTGACCAAGTTACTGATCATACTAGTGCGATTCGGCCGACTTGACTTGAGACTAATGGGTAGTTGTTTGAGCTACTAGTCCGACCTTTAAAACATTGATATAAATAACGGATAGAGTGGTAACTTTGGAAATAACTCAACTCAATTCTAGATCAACTTTTCCATCATTATCGATCAATTATTCGTAACAATTATTTTTCCATGAAAGTGTGTTCCATATTATACTGTTCCTAACAGAATGGATACTTTCTATTTACTTAGGTTACATACACACTCAAAACACATTTTGCTTCAAAATTCCATCTTTTATGAGCTTGAGTCCAAAGTTATTAGGCTGATAATCTTGACCGTCATGATCATGAATCTAAAATTTAAACTTTAAATATTTAAATATTATGTTTTTAATATTAATCGTTGTTTGTTTAAACTTCTCCAAATACTCGTTATTATTTAAAAAAAATATAAAGAGACCATTCACTTTTAGTACAAGGAGGTCACAATCATTTATATCATTTATATTTCAAATTGGGTAGTTGAGTATGTCACTGACTAGATTCAAAGTTTTATTTTAAGAAAAGATTGTTTGATCATCGTGACATATCCCAAGCTATCCAATTTGATATCTAATAGCTACGAATAATTGTAACCTTTTTGTAAGAAAGATAAATGGTCTCATAGTATACAAACACATTATTTAAAATGCAAAATCCCCGATGTAAAGCAAAAATGCATTTGTATAGAATTTCATCTCTAAGTATAAAATTGAATAGGGTGTGGTTTATATAAGGTTAAAGCCCTAAACAAACAAACTAAGGCATGGCTCTAAATAGTATCGAAAGATAGTTTTTTAATAACAAAATTTTTTTTTAATAACAAAAATTTATCTGATGGCTTAAAAAATTATTTCCATATCTAATTATAAAGGAAAAGTATATAAAGACACCATTTATTTTTAATACAAGGAGGTCACAATCACTTTGTCCATCATATTTCAAATTGGATGGGTGTGAGTGTATCATTGACTAAATTCGAAGTTCTAAATTTTTTTTCTCAAACATTGTGACACACCCCAAGCTATCTAATAGTTAGTATTAATTGTGACCTCCTTGTACTAAAAATAAATGGTCTCGTAGTGTACAATCCCAATTATAAAATTTAAATCTTAAAAAATAATGTAGATCGACTAATCTATAAGTACTTAAAAATATTGAAAATCAACGACTTAGATAATGCATTACAAGATGCAGTATTTCTTAAATTTGAAATCTATTTTTTTTTGCGTTCATTCATCTCGACGAGTTAATCAATTTGAGGGTTTTTTTTGACATCAAAACAACCACTCAGTTTTTTTATATGCGCTTTAATTTGATTGTTTAGAGCCTCAATCTTACATCAACTTTTTCCATTTGAATATAACTGTTTCTGTATGGGGGTGGCAATGGGTCAGGTTCGTTCGACCCGGACCCGGACCCAGACCCGGACCCGAAAGTATTTCGTGTCCAAATTTTGAACCCAGACCCGACCCGTCAGGTCCAAAAATTAAACCCATACTTATACTCGGGTCCCTGGTCTATCGCGTCGGGTACCAGTTCCATTACTACCCTCACTATGAACTTTTTTTTTCTTTTTCTTTTGCCGTTTTTTACTATCATATATTCGTATTATAGGCAACAAGGTTATGATCACCCGCCATTAGATTTCAAGTCATCTAATTTGTCATTTAATAGGTAAATATGACTACGGGTCTTATTGTATACGATCTTTAATACACCCAAATGAATATGGCTTAAAGTATTTTATCTCCAACAATTTACGAATACGGATCGGGTCCAACCGAACCCAGACTCAAATCGTGTTCGGGTCCAGGTTTTAAACCTGTACCCAACCTACCGGGTCCAAACATTGGACCCATTCCTAAACCCATATCGGGTATACCCTGCAGGGCTGGGTATGGGTCCGGATCCGGGTCCTGATCCGGGTCCTGGTCCGGGTCCGGGTCCGGGTCCGGGTCCATTGCCAACCCTATTTTCTGAATAAGCACAAACAGAAGTAATCAAGAGAGAACATGGGTTAAATGTAGGAGAGAGAGTAAATGCGAACAAGACAAGTAACGCATCGGTAAGAGAGAGCGACAGAAGACGGTAAGTGTGGAGGCAAAGTCGCATTTTGTGGGAAATAGAGAGAGCTACTAGACTTTGGAGGAGAGAATTTGCAGAGACGCAGAAACTCCTCTCCTTCCCCCTCCTTTTTCTCTCTTTAGCTCCTCTAGTAAACGTTTGCCAAGGTATAATTTCTCTCTTTTTCCCTTCTTTTTAATCTCTGTATTGTTGTGCTTAAATCTCCATGAATCTTATTCGACCCCCTTTGAGATCCAGAATCAGCCTGTAAGTTTCTTTATTCATCTCCCCCAGGAATTCAGCTTTTTCTGGCCTTTAAAAGAAACCCAGGGTTTCTTTTTTTGTCGCGTTTTCTTGGTTGAATTTATTTGCCTTTGTTTTTTTCTTTTATTTTGTTATTTTACTATGTGGGAATTGATTTTGAGTTGAAATTACAGTGCATTAATGGACAGAAATTGAGTAAAAAAAGGGGAAAATGGCTTCGAAGGTTGGGGGTCCGTCGACCCCTGCAGTTCGAAGGGATCCTTATGAAGTTCTGAACGTTTCAAAGGATGCATCAGAGCTAGAGATAAAAACCGCTTATAGGAAGCTAGCACTCAAGTAAGTTTTCATAAGGCCTTTTGTTTCTTTTGGTAATCATCTTAATTGTTTGTGTTTTGGATTTGTAGGATTAGTGTGAAAAATTGGAATTGATTACCTTGATTTTCTTCTCTAGCTGCTCTAATTTTTTATCTTTTAACCATTTAATTTTGTTGTTGTACGGTTATGAGAAATGAAAACCCAAAAAAGAAAAACGTGAAAACCTGTACCTGAACAATTACTTTGAATTATGGGTGTTTCTTTTTCTTGGAAGATAGAGGAGATTAATTATCTTCATTGGTTAGAGTGCATGATGGGTTAGTCTCTTATGCGATAGATATTCTGCTTCTTTTTTCGGGATACTTCATTCTGATTGATGCCTACTTGACTAGCCTCCAATATACAATATGCTTCTGTATAGGATATTTGCTAACTGTGATGAGGCACCTTGAGAAATGAGAAAGTTCTTTGGTGGATTGGGAGAGTCTAAGATGTTACATGCCTCATTTGTTTTCTTTGGGAGATAGAGTGATAGAAGCATGTATAATGGAGAGTTATTTTTGTTATGGGGTGAGAAAGTTTTAAAAAGAGAAAAAGAAAAGAAAAGGTGGGTTTGGGATGAGAGACCGCATTCAAGCTAATACTATCTTGGTGGTTTCTTTGTCATGTGTGAGGATAGAGGGATTTTAGAGGAAGTTACTACGGTATAATGTGTGAGAGAGTGATTGTTGGGGCAAGGAGGGTAGTGGTTGCTAAGGTCTTGGTCTCCTAATAGGACCATGGAAAGCATACTATAAAAGCATCTAAAGGCATAGAGCGTTTTGGTTGTAGCCTATGAGTCTATCGTATAGATTATGGCATGGCATTCTCACCACAAGTATCTGAAGATTAGATAGCTTGGGCTAAATGCATCTTGTCGAATTCCTCACGGAAATTAAAACTCTCCTTAGTCTACAACATATTCAATTTTATAACCGTATACAACCTTATAGACTTAAAGAAAAACGTAATGTCTAGAACTTCGGTTTTCTATTTACATGATACGTAGCACAGGATTTCCTGTTTTAACATCCTCATAGATATACACATCTTGGAGTCAAAGGAATCCAACTAAAAAACTTAACCTCTAGATATTAGTATATGATGAGGTGTCCAAAGTGATGGTTATAGGTAGAGTCAGTTCTAGTTCTTGGACTTCTTCTTGCCTTACTACTGCCTCTATGCTCATCATGTTGGGTTCTGCCTAGTTGGATTTAAGTTCCATGATGTTTAAGTCCGACCTGCTTGATTCTCCTTCACTACGTATCTTTAACTTCATAGATCATGAATTATTGATTAACACCTTGTGATTTTGATTTCAATATGAGGAAAAGTCCTTTTTTTCTCACGTTTTTGCAATCCCAATGCAACTTGACTTTTACCTGCTCAAAAAATTTCCTAGAGTGACTATATCTAACTCCTAGCATTCGATGGTATCTTGTCAAGCTTCCCCCTTTTGAAGAAGCTTTAGTCCAAAGATACTTCTCTCTTCCACTTCGTAAGTTTTCTCATGCATGTTTTCTTATGGACTCTTTTAAGTCTACTCACAACATGTTAAACAAAGAACATCCATTTATTCAGTGTCAGCCAAAGAATGCTGGTTGATCATGAGACCAAAAGCTGAACACTCATAATGCATAAGGTTTATTAAAAAATTAGGGGAGGTCATACCTCAAGCACAATAAGGGTGTTGACTAATGCGGGCTCCTCTTCAGCTTGATAACGAATACTTCTGCATGAATTTTTCTCTCCATTCATTGTGTCAAGAACCCAATGATTAAATTTTGATGTTAATTGAGCCCAGTGTTTCAAAAAGCGCTAGGCGGGTCCAGGCCGTCCAGCGCCTAGGCGGGCGCCTAGAACCTGGGCGGCCCAGTTGAATCCAAATAAGGATTCTGCAGTGCAGTTATATCAGTATCAGTTATATGTATTGCAATACATAATTTAAATTATACCACATATTAACATTTAGCAACACACTCCATAAACATAACCATAATCCATAAGTCGGTTCATAAAACTTAAAATTTACAACCAACCAAATTATCAAACCAAGTTATTAAGTAGTATCACACCAGTACTGCAGTACACCACCACGAGGAAGAAAACAAAATTGAATTATGAAAGTATGAAACTATGAAAGTAATGCTTGAAGACTCAAAATAATCTTCAATAGTTCAATATACAATACTTTAAAGTTCAAACTTCAAAGTTTAATAATTATTCAACAATCAACATTCACAATTCATTCATCATCAAAAAATCTTGGGTCAGCTGCATTGGCATCATATTCATCGGAGTCGACGGAGTCGTCACCCTCCTCGACATATTGGTCGTCCCCGTCCTCCTCTGTCTCTTCTGAATCAACTTCTTCTTCCTCCTCTTCCTCCATCCTTGTTCTCTGTGCAAAAGATTTAGTGGCCCTAGGAGGGTCAACTGATATCCTTGAAGCATCCATGACCATGTCCAATGTCAATCCTTCATGCCCCTCGACCTCATCATCATCAACTAACCACTCCATAGCATGGTCCATATTTTTTGATCTGATGGGGTTCTCTTAGCAAACCTGTCCTTCAAGAATCGATTGTACTTGACATAGTCTAGGTCATTGAGCCTCTTTGATTCAAGCCTGTTCCTTTTCTTTGTATGAATCTAACAAAATCAAATGAAAGTATGAAACTAATTAAAATCTAATATCTATGGCTCATGTATTATTTATAAAATTATACAAATTACCCTTACGGCCTTACCCCTTCAAAAGTACTCCAATTGTGCTCACAACCGGATGAAGAAGTGGTTAGGTTTAAGATCCGAATGACCAACTTTTGTAAATTTGGAGAACTAAACCCATGTTGGCTCCACCAATGGGCTGCAAAGATATAGAATAAAATCATAAATAAATAATAGAATTACTTGATTACTTGAACTTGGTGAACTTAAGAATATTATTAATACCTGGATCAATTTTGGCCCTTTGCCTCATCGCCATTGGACTTCCAAAAGGCTTTAATGACAACTTGTAATTTATCAGCTCATCAGCGCATATAATATCCTGCATATCAGGATTAGGGACTAGCACCTCTACACACTCATTAAATCCATTCATAATTGTGTCATTTGTTTGTATATCCTTGTTAATATAAAAAAAAGCTGGGTTCAAATAATAACCAGCTGCATGCAATGGCCGATGTAGCTGCCTATCCTACTTCTCATAAAAAACAGGCTTGTAACGGGTTTCTTCATCATTGAAATTTTGGGCTCTCTCTCTTTTGCATTTCTCCATAGCATCATATATGTAGCTCATAGAAGGCTTGTCACTATCAACCATGCAAAGGACTTTGACAAGAGGTAAAAATACCTCACGAGCACCCTAGACCCCTCTCCAAAAAGCCTTAGGAAGTATAGTATCTCTCACCTTCTTCCCAACCTGATCCTTAGACCACTTGCATGCTCTCCACTCATCTGAGATAAACATTTGCCTCAACTGCACTCTCCTCGAATGTATGCTATCTAGGCATAAGTACCAGGTGGCAAATCTCGTGACCCCAAGCCTTACAATCTCTTTCTTCTTTGTAAAGGTACGCATCATTCTGAGGGTGAGATGTTGGCTATAAATGAAATTTGTAACTAACTTGGCCTTCTTCATTGCACCTGATATCTCGGTTAAACTGCCAAGAGTCTCAAGCATGAGGTTTATATAATATGTTGCAAATGGTGTCCAAAAGATTTTAGGATAAACTATGCGCAACAAATTAGAAGCAGCAACATTCGGAGCAGCATTGTTTGTGACAATCTGTACAGACAATATGCTCCCCAACCTCCTTGATTCCCTTCTCTATCACTTGAAATATGTAATGGGCATCATGGATATGATCAGAGGCATCAATAGATTTCAAAAAGACAGTCCCTGCAGGATAATTCACAAACAAATTCATCTGACTTCTCTTCCTATCACTCCAACCATCAGTCATAATAGAAACCCCATACTGAGCCCATGCATCATTCTTAAGTTCTACAGCTTCCTTCGTGGCACTCACTGCCTTTTTTAAAAAAGGCTCTGAAAGCTCATATGGGGTTGGGGGTTTCATCCCAGAGCCAAATTGGCCAATTGCCTCTATCGCAGTATAGAAGTTGCTTAAACGAGCGGTATTGAAAGGAATGCCCGCCTCATAAATGTAGCAAGATAATATGCAGCACTATCTCTATCTTTCTTCTTGATTCTATTTTCAATGGTGGTTTGCTTTTTTGTTTTCTCTCCTGCAACTTTAGGGTCAGGCCGAGGTAAAAAACTATCCATAGGGCCTCTAACCCGTGGCTTATTAGTCCCAGGACCAGAAGCAATTACAACTCCCTTCCCCTTTCCCTTAATAATGGATTGCTCAACCTCTTGACATTCCTCCTTTTCCTCATCACTATCATCTTCATCAAAATTGACCCGAACCCCAGACCTAATCTCTGCTCACCATGTTCAAAAAATTGTTTATTTCCTCTTTAACAGTATCAGGAGTCTTTTTACATGGGGCAACATCCCCCCTGATACCGGCAAGATGTTGCTTGAGCCGGTATATGCCCCTTTTTGTATCTTTTTCAAAAAACTTGCATCTTATGCAATTTTTATCATTAGGATCTGGGCTATAGCTATATTTCCAATCGGGATCATCACTCCTATTAGATCCCGAAGAAGGCATCTAAAAAATAATGCAAATTACTAAAGCAATAAAAAAAAGCCACTTACTTTGAGTTTGATTGCTCAATCTTTAAACTTTCACTTCAAAGATGCTTCTAAATACTCAAAATCTTCTAAAAAACCCCCTAATAACTTTGCAAAACATTAAAAAGTAAATTTAATATCAATGGGTGATGTTTTGATCAATTTTTGTTAACTTTGAGAAACCCTTTGATCCTAAAAAATTCATCAAAAATTAGATTTTTGGGGGCTTTCTCTCTCTAAAATTGGCTCCAACAAGTTTTTGGGTTCAAATGAATCTAAAACCCTAAATTTTGGCCCTTAAAAACAAAAAAAAGGGACCAAAATTGCCCCTACCGAAATCAATTTCTGCCCCTGAGCAGCCGCGGGTTCCGTACCGCCTAGGCGGCCACCCAAGGATCGACCGCCTAGTCCTAGGCGATGCGCTAAGGCCTTTCGGACCGCCTAGGCGCTGGGCGGTCCGCTTTTTGAATCATTGATTGAGCCACAGTAGCTGATGTTTATCCCCGATTTTGGCTTCATATTTAACTTGAAATGACCCTTGAGCAACTCAATTAGAACTTTTTTGGCTGATGGTATGATGAACACTCAGAATCTCCTTCATATCGATATGTTATATGTATTAGCGTATTTCACGACAAAAAGAGAAGTTGAATCACCTTACCAGTACTTATAAATTTGAAAGGTAATAAAATAATGGATATATCTTGGTGAAGTTTTTAGTTATCAGAATATGAAGAACATTTTGGTTACTAGGACAGGGGGTATTCTTGGAAAATGTTTGAAACATGACTTTCCACATGTATGGTACATGCGAACGATAGTTATGCACATTATGGTACATGCGAAACATGATGAATGTGGAAGAGATATCTTGGACACGGATTGCACATTGCAACTGCTACAGGGCCAACAAATCTTAGAAAAAAAAAAAAAACCTCTGAATATCTTCTCGAGGATGAATACATTCCCAAAGTTGTATTACACTCAACACTCTAATGAAGTTCTTGGTTGGGGAGGGGGCATGCAACTTAAAAAAAATTGTTTCCTTGGGCCCGGGATTGAGGAGTGCGTTCCAATAGTTTGGAATTTTGATTGAGGAAATTGAGACTGCTTAGGCCTCGGAATCTGGAAGCGTGACACCATATTAAAACCAGTGTTTGGAAAACCAATAGGAAAGAAGTTATGTCCTTTTGAGGCCAATGAACATCTAATAAGTAATAAGTTGTCTTCAATGAAAGAAAATGAAGCGACCAAAAGTTAGTAGTGATAATACTAAGTAGGACATGGTGCCCACCTTAGGCAAATATTGTCCTCTATGTTACCACCTAGCATACTTGTCACGCATTTCAAATATGCAAGTCATTGCCATGGCGTCTATATAGATTGTTATACTATTGCCACTGGGAGTCTGCACTTATATATGCATTTAGTAGGCTAGTAGCTGCCAAGAAGAATTGCTCTTTATGTATAGCATCTTGCAGGTAAGGAAAGGGAGCCATGGTGTCATTGATTGGGCTAATTTTGAGCTCCAACTATCAATGGAAAATCACTTTTATATTTGTACTACTCATGGTTTGTACATTTCCGTGACATCCTCTAAGTCGGGATTTCAGCTATTAAAACCACTATTTTGCTTTCTGAGTATTGAAGACAGGATGGGTCGTTCTAGTAGCGACCTATTGTGTCAATTGTGTGAAGTTGTAGATATATAAACTTGGATTCTTAATTTGCTTCCTTGTGTATCTGATACTTGGAATTCAATCTCATCAATGCTATTCTATTTCATTACTAATTAATGAATGACTGGCCTATATTTTCTCTTCTCAGTTAAAGAATAATTCTTTGTTTGACAAGCTTGCAGTGTTGATGGTATATTTGCTTGTCGTTTATGAATTAGATTGATCATTTTGTCCTTAATCTTCAAAGTTAACAAATAGTAATTGACGTATTGAACCTATTATAATCCACACCTCTAAGAAGGTTGTTTACTGGTTAGTTTATGGTATTTAATCTTTTTGCTAAGGAATGTCTGGTTAATTAATTCATTATTTCACAGGGTACCTTCTAATGAGATTAATTTTATGATTTAAGAAGCCAAGTGATTACATTTGAGAGTTTCGTTTCTTGTTATCATTTGAATTTTATAAATGGTGGATGATATCAGGGATAGTTTAGGAATTCTGAATATTATTTTCCACTAGGTGAAAGTTATATAACATGACAAGTTTTAATTATATCAGCATCTTTTTCATTTCATGAGCAGGTATCATCCTGACAAAAATGCAAACAATCCAGAAGCTTCTGAACTTTTTAAAGAGGTGTCTTATTCCTATACCATTCTATCCGACCCAGAGAAAAGAAGGCAGTATGATAGTGCTGGATTTGAGGTAGTCCCTCCTCTTTTGTTCCTTGGTTACAAAAAAAACTTATTAAATTGAGTGAGAGTAGGGCAGAGGTGTTGTCTTGTGTGATTATAATACTGTGCCTATGGGGAAGTTGTTGAAATTTCTCTGATTGTTGATCTTTGACTGGGGAAGGGAATATGTCAAAAACTTATTGATGTGGCTGTTTTAATATTTCCTGTATGTAGGACTTCTGCCTCACGTCACACCACCAATTTTTCCTTATTACTTGGTCATCCAAAGTTTTGGTTAAGTGCCAACATCGTGTTGGCAAAGTTTAAAACTTGGACTTGGCCTGATTCTCTGACGGAGTCTAATTGATACATCTAGGTAAAGAATTGGTAACACCCGGCCAAGCGCTTGAAATTGTCTCATGGCTGAGTTTTTAAAAGGTGATTATAGGTCCATGATACAATTTTGGCATGAGATTATAGTATCTCCTTTTATGGACAGTGTACTTGTCACATCCATATGGGAATTAGGTATTTGATTGATTTGAAGATGAAATTTCATATTATGTTTCTATGGACATTGTACTTGTCACTTCCAAGGATCAGCTACTGGGTATGAAGTGTTTTCTAGGCTGTATTAGGCATATTGCTCGACTAAAACCTGCTTTCTCCTGAAATGTATTCCTTGAAATGTTTTTCATTTATTTATTGGAAGGAGTTTCTTTCATATGCTTTTGTCTTTCCCGGAGAGAAAAGGAGTAAAAATCACAAGATCATAAAAGTGCAGCCTTATGCATGACTGATGGAACATAGAGGGGCCAAGGGGTATATTGTGAATGACAGGAGGCAAGGCTCTTTCAGTGGAGTATTAATGGAAAAGTATAATTGATTGGACGGGGGTATACTTGTAGTCCACCAGGGGCATCACTATCCAACGATTCACTGATGTAGTGTAAGTGGGACCCACCTGAAGATTAGATGACCCAAATGGTGTGTCCTACTCTCTCCATCACTGACCATATTATAGCCCAATGGACTCTGGTTTTTCATAGTTCATTAAATTGTAGCATATATCCCACAATTTACAGTGGCAGCGGGGGCTCTAGATATTACATGGAACTTAACCTTTTGAAAACCATCCTGTGCTTAGCAAAGCGAGCTATGCGGGAGAAAATGTAAATATTTGGCATGTAAAAAAAGCCGATTACTCATCAAAGTGATGTTGAGACATTGTTTATTACATAGGCGCTCTGCATGCTGATTACAGCACTCTGTTCCTACTGTTGTTCAAGTGGACCGTAAAAGATAAGGTGGAGGGACTGAGAGATGTGTCTAAGAAGAAACATATACTAGCTGTTGGATTTTCCATAATAAGGGGCGGGTCTCCTGGATTTCTAGGAATGAAAATTTGCATGATCCACCTTGTTGAAAATTATAAAAACATGTCATTTTTCATAGTGGAAGCTGTAAATTATTGGTGCCTATAATGGCTTTGTGCATTTTTACCTTATGTTCTCATTCTTATGACAGGCTTTAGAAGCTGATGGCTTAGATATGGAAATCGACTTATCCAACTTAGGGACTGTCAATACCATGTTTGCAGCACTGTTCAGGTGATGGTGTGATCAATCTTTGGAAATCTCTTATTCTACTATCTATTCGTAGGGCTAAATTGATACTTGACTGTTCTCAGCAAACTTGGTATGCCCATCAAGACTACAATTTCTGCCACAGTTCTTGAGGAGGCTTTGAATGGAACTGTGACTGTTCGGCCCCTTCCTCTTGGAAGTTCTATCAGTGGCAAGGTAGTTACATACTATTTAATTTTCTTGAGTTATTGGATCTATGTTGTTTGAGAAGAAAATGCTGATTTGTTGTCCTTTTGGTTTAGGTTGACAAACAGTGTGCCCACTTCTATGGTGTCACCATTGATGAAGAACAAGCTCAAGCAGGAATTGTAGTCCGAGTTACATCAGCTGCACAGAGCAAATTCAAGGTGAAATATATAATAACCAAAGATATTGCTCTATCACTAGTGACATGTTTGGGTCATCCAATATGCTCTGCTATCGTGAAGTTTAGAGCATGATCTCCCCCTTGAGAAATTTCTTTCTTTATTTATGGAGAATCTTCTTCATATAACAGTCAACATTATCCGAAACAGATATCTTCACTTTTATATGATCTGACCTTTAATTGATGATGTTGTTATTATTAACAGCTTCTTTATTTTGAGCAAGAGGCAAATGGAGGGTATGGGTTGGCTTTACAGGTGATTTTATATGAAGCAGTTAGTTCATATATCAGCATACGTTTTTGGTCCTTTTCATTTGCATTTTTTGCATGTTTCTGGTACCACTTAAAAGCGTTCCTATCGACAAATTTTGTTTGCTCCAATATTTGCTTTATGGAGAGTTCTGATTTTGTTCCTGAGGTGGCATATGTAACAATGCAACGGGATGCGTGTTTATGCAACTCATTGTATTCCATAGTAGTTTAGTATAAAAAACCTGTGCAGCCTGGGTGCGATCTTTGAGGCAAATGGTTGTCATGCCACCATGGCTGACAGAGTCCTAATCTTTTCGACGACACTGCTAGAATCTATGTCATGGTTTGGGCTCCTCCATTTGCTTTGAAGTTTAAGTCAGTGCTTTTGCATCCTTGGTTTACAGTTTTCTGATTTGATTTTCATAAAACTCACAATAACTGAATTCTCAAAATACATGAAAACTTGCAAAATCTTGGATAACCAAGTTATGAAAATTCATCTGGAAAAGCCTGGATTATTGATCAAAAAAAAAAAAGGAGTTGGAATTATGAAGTTTGGATGAGCCTCCATGCTTCTCACTTGCAGTCATTATGATTCATGAATTTGACTGCTTTGTCTATAACTAGACATCCACAGGATGGCACCAGCAAGTAATCCTATAGCTAGAATGAGCAATATGTAGTGTGAGAATAAGAGAGATAAGTCCTGAAATTTGAGAGAGATTGTTTGGCTACCTTCAGAGGTGTGTGGAAAATGGGTATATCAAACCATTTGAAGGCCTATTAGTGAACTTGCAAGTTATCTGTGTTTGGATTGGGGAAGATAGTTACATCGACTAAAGCTGCAAGATCAGTTGTCAGAGTTGATTGGATTTCTCTTTCCAATGTCTCAATCCTGCTTTGAATGAACCCTTGAAGGGTTTATACACTGTACTTTCTAGGTATAGTGACTGGGATACCCTTTCACAAGTGCACATATGCTATATTTGTCCCTTGGGCTAAAGATCCGCATAGAAGGATTTTCTTTATCTGAAATTTTGGTGTCTACTTTAAAATCACTTGGGTATTTTTAGTTTTATGTTTTATTTTTTTGAATTTGAGTTCTTATACACCTTGACCAATCTTTCAAAAATTTGACAGTCTGTGCTCAGTCCCAGGGCATGATCTCCTTTCAAGCACCTAGTGCATTTGTGTATTTGTTTTTCTTTTTAGGTTGGTTGTTAGGTTGAAAGGATCATCCCCAAAAATTGGGGTCCTGAAAGTACTCCTATCAGGGTCTTGCTTGAGGGTCTTCAGCTTGTGCATATAAGTTTTTCAATATACAGTAACACGTACAAGCTGTTACACTGACTTGGTTTTGCCTTTTTGTAACAAATAAGAATAATTAGATGTCCTACTTGTATCTGAAATGCCTACCATTTCAGACTAAACTTGTAAATTTGTGCAAAAAATGTTATATTGCTTTCCTTGGATAATTTCCAAATTTGAAACTTTGGAATGCAGTTTATACTTCGGTGAAGCATACTTTGTTTTCAAAGATTTTATTTGGCCATTAAATTGTGTTTTCCATTTGATGTTATAATAGATCTCGTTTAGTAAGATTTGACTATTTCAAATCAAATTCATAATTCTTTGGGTGCTATTCAGAATCTAATTCTGTGATATTCTAATTTGCAGTTTTAGGCCTTTAAATTTCATCAGAAAACTAATATAAAGCCATTGAATATTAATCATTAAAGATGTATGGCATGTACATCTTAAAGCCAAATAGCTATTAAAAAGATGTTTCAGTCTCTAGTTTTGCACAGTTATATAACTTCAATTATTCTGAACCTCACTAATTTCTATAATCTTTAAGAATGACTAAAATTTGAATACCCAACTTGATTTGTTCAGGAAGACAGTGAGAAGACCAGCAAGGTCACATCGGCAGGGATGTATTTTTTGCACTTTCAGGTCTATCGATTGAACAATACAATGAATGCGGTAGGGTTATTCTATCGTTATCATCCTTGTGGTCTTTCTGTAAGATTAGGATTTTTCATGGTCACTGGTAACAAAGCTAAATAAATTAAAAAAGAAAAAAAAAATCAAAGTTAAGAACCTATGTTTCATGGTGCAGCTTGCAATGGCAAAAGACCCTGAAGCCCAATTCTTCAAGAAGTTGGAAGGTCTCCAACCGTGTGAAGTTTCTGAAATTAAAGCTGGAACCCACATATTTGCTGTATATGGTCTGCAAATGCTCTTCTGCTCTTGTAGTTTATTTTCCTTCTTTCTCTGTTTTCCTTATGGTTAGCTATTTATATGAAGCCCATGAAAGACAGTGATTTATTGTTTTTATAATATTGGAAAACTGCTCTCTGTTCCTTCAGGTGATAATTTTTTTAAGAGTGCCAGTTACACCATAGAGGCTCTTTGTGCGAAGTCTTTTGAGGACATCACGGAGAAGCTTAAGCAAGTGGAGGCTCAGCTATTATCAAAGAGAAACGAGCTACGCCAGTTTGAGACAGAATACCGCAAGGTACTGCACTTTTTTCCTTTATGTCGGTAATACCTGGATTCCATTGAAAAATACAACGTGATGGGGGTGCTTAGGACTGAGTCCATGGTAGTGAATTGTGCATTTTAAATGCCTGTAATCCTCTCTCTCTCTCTCTCTCTCTCTCTCTCTCTCTCTGTGTGTGTGTGTGTGCGTGTCGTCGTCGCGTCGTCGTCGTCGTACGTACGTACTACGTATACGTACGTACGTAACGTACGTAACGTAACGTACGTACGTACGTTACGTACGT